GCTGTGTGTGTGATTGTGTGTGTGCGTCGGCGAGACCCCCGTCTTCCAGCTCCCCGGCTTGTTTGCATTTAACACCGCTGCCCTCGGGGTCTGTCCCTGGCTCTGTTGCCCTGGACAAGGTTTCCTGGATTTTCGAGGTGCTGCGTGTATACAGTCGGCGCTGCACGTCCACAGCCACGGGGCAGGCGCCACCTCCTGTGCCAGACGTGCACAAGAGCCCTTGCTTGTCGGAGCCACCGTGTACCCAGCACTCTCCCCGTCTTAGCCTTGTCAGTCACGTGGAGGTGATGTGTGCAGTGAGACGCGGGCGGGTCCGGTGCCAGTGGTGTCCCGGGGGGAGGGGAACCCCGGGACCAGCCCCCCAAGGACGCGGAGAGACCCTGCCAGTCACTGCCGTCTCCCCGGGGGGACGCTGAGGTCGGTTCCGTGTCTCGGCCGCCGCCACAGTGAACCCGAGACTACAGACGTGTCGTCCAGAGTGACCTCACTTCCTCTGGACAGCTGGATCCAGTGAGGCTGGACTAGGTTTTTCTTTTTCCGAAGCGTGCGGCCTCTATTAGAAACATGTCTTTTTATACAGGGGAGGAGAAATAAGTAGAAGCCTTGTGGCGCTTCCAGCCGCCCTGTGCCTGGGCCCCCTCCGGATCGCCCCGGCAAAATGCCTCGCCAGCCCCCGCACCTGACTCCATCCCGGCCAGCGCCCAGGCCCGGGGTCCACTTCCTCACCCCCACAGGCGGACGCATGGAGACCACGCGCCCCCGGCCAGCCCCCGCCGGCCGCATTTCCTCCTCGGATGTGTAATAGCACCAGCCGGATATTTTTAGACGGGCTCTGAAAAGTCACAGTGTGCCGGGAGCGCATACCAGACGCGTGAGGTCACGGCCCCGGCCCCGGCCGGCCGGCAGCCTGCACCGCCTGGGGTAATCACAGAACCAGAAGCCGCTCATCAGGGCCGGCCACCTCCGGAGGCCCCGGGGGCGGGGGGCTGGGTTGTTACAGTTTTCTGAGTTTATGGGGTACCACGTGATGTTTCCATACATGCAGACAGGGTACTCCCACACACGTGTGCAAAACAGTTAAAGGGTAAGTCGATTCGGATGTCAAAAAAAAAGTGAATTCCATGCCCACGAAAGGGTCTTGGAAAAGTTCATGGGAAATGCGTGTTACAGAACAGGAGGGAAAAAAAACCCAAAACTATGCCTGGTTTTTGAGTTGTCTGGCACCAGAGTGAGCATCTCCCATAATTCCGTTCGGCCCCGACTCTGGGAGGTGGCCTCGTGAGCGTGGCCAGCCCTGGACCCTGGCCGCAAGGCAGAGAGAGGCCTGTTTCCTGCTGCAGGTGCCCCGCATGGCGCCCGCGCTCCACTCCCCGTCTGCGCAGTCGGGGACACCTCACGGTGTTTCCCCCAGGTCCGACTCACAGACTCCCCTGAGTCGCGGCTTTCTCAGTCGGGCTTTGTTTATTTGAAAGCAGAGTTACAGAGAGAGGGAGTGTCCACCCCCGGTCACTCCCCAAATGGCCGCGACAGCCAGGGCCAAGCGCGGCCGAGGCCAGGAGCCTGGAGCTCCGTCCAGGTCTCCCGTGTGGGTGACAGGGACCCGGGTGCCTGGGCCGTCTTCCGCTGCTTTCCCAGGTGCCTCAGCAGAGAGCCGGCTCAGAAGTGGAGCAGCCTAGATTGGAACTGGTGCTCGTGAGGGGTGCCGGCGTCACAGGCGGCGGCTCTACCTGCTAAGCCACAGCGCCTGCCCCGAAAAGCAGTTTTGTTGACCCGAGGATTTCTCGGCGCTTACAGCGAAGTGCATGAAAGAACAAAGAGCAGAGGGGATCCTGGACTCCCTGCCCTGGCACCTTCTTTTATCTCCCTTGTATGCAAGTAGGCAGCCCCCACCCCCACCCACCCCGCCGTCCACAGCTGCAGTCACCCAAGGTCAACCAGGGGCCGGAAATACTAAATAGAAAATTGTGAGAGAGGGGGAGACCACATACATATAGCTTTCTTACTTTTTTTTTTTTTTCAAGATTTATTTTTTTTTATTTGAAAGAGTTAGAATCTTCCATCCACTGGTTCACTCCCCAAATGGCCGCCAACAGCCAGGGCTGGGCTAGACCGAAGCCAGGAGCCAGGAGCTTCTTCTGGGTCTCCCACATGGGTGCAGGGACCCAAGGACTTGGGCCATCTCCCACTGTTTGCCCAGGCACACCGGCAGGGAGCTGGATTGAGAGTAGAGCAGCCGGGACTTGAACCAGTGCCTATAAGGAATGCCAGAGCCATAGGCGGCAGATTTACCCACTGCCCACAGCACCGGCCCCTCCTCAGAGCTTTGTGAAGACCCCTTTTAGTTGTGAACAAGAAGTGGGCTCCGTGGTCACTGTCAGACTTGGGGGAACTCCTATCTGGGCTCCATGTTGCCTCCCCAAGGCCCATATAAACCCCTCCCCCAATCACCCAGTGGCTGCCAGGCCCTGAACAGACCCCCCCACCCTTTCTCTGGGGCCGCCCACTCGTCACCTCAGTGTGGCCCAAGTGTTAGCACGTGGTCTGGGCCCCGTGGTCTCCAGCACTCGTGACCTGCAAGTGGGCTCGGCCCAGGCTGCTCCCGGCTCTGCCCAAGGCCTCACCACCATGGGCAGAGCTGGTCTCCGCACAGGCATCTGGGGCTCCCCCGTCCCACGGGCGGGCGGGGTGTGAAGAACAAAGCCGCATTCAGGCCGTGGCCCTGTTGGCCCCAGAGGTTGGAGGTCGAGGGGCTGCATCTGACCAGGCCCTTCTTGCTGGAGGTGGCGTGGGCGTCACGTGGGCTGGGTGCAGCCTGAGTGCATCCCCCAGGGGTTCCTGCGTTAGAGGCTGTGTCCCCCACCTGTGGCCGGGCGGGGAGGCAGGACCCGGAGGAGGGCAGGGCCAGCGTGTGTGGGGCGGCGGCTGACACCGGGACGCCCACATCCTGTCCCCGAGTGCCTGGGCTCGAATCCCAGCTTCCCACTAGTGTGCACCCTGGGAGGCAGCACTGATGGCCCACGTGGGAGACCCCAAGGGAGCTCCGGCTCCTGGCCTCAGCCTGGCCCAGCCCTGGGTCTCGGACGTTTGGGGAATGAACCAGTGGATGGGAACTGTCTCTGTCTCTGTTTCTCCCCTAGAAACAAGTGAAAAATCAGTATTTAAAATTTTAAAAAGGGCCGGGGCCTAGTGGGAGGCGCTGCCCACAGGAGGGACCGGGGGACCTTGGTGGCCGTGTGGCAGTGGTCTCAGACCCACACCTGCTCCCGCCGTGAGGCCACCACACCCAAGGCCTGGCCAGCCTGGGACTTGGAGCTTCCAAAACCGTGAGCCACGTCAGCCTTCGTCTGACTCAGGTGTTTGGCCGCAGCAAGGCAGGCCGGCACACGCGGTGACACAGGCGGCTCAACCCTCGTCCTGCCTTTTACAGTTCCCCGAGGGACTGCGTTTCACCGCGGGCTCTGGGTAGATGACCGTAGCAGTGCACGGCGGCCTGGCGCCCTTGGGCCACGGTACCAGAGCGGCCTGGGGTCCCTCTCCTAAGAGCACTAACCCCATTCCGCCCCTCATGGCCCAGTTACTCCCCCCCCCCCCCCCCCCGAGCCTGGCCTCCAAGTGCCATCGCCTCGGGCGTCAGGCTGTCCGAGGTGACACGAGCGGGACGCAGACAGGAAGTGCCCAGCGGCCAGTGTCCATCCCCTTGGGTAGGGGGGAGGCCTGCCCTGGTTTCAGCCCCTCCCAGGCAGTGGGGCCTTGGCCGTGGCCTTGCCCCCGTACACACTCCCCCTCCTCTCCCCTTCTCCCCGTCCCAGTCCCCCAAGGCTCCATCGCACCTTCTCCTTGTTCCTTTTCCATGGTTGTTAATTAATGGTTTTTCTTTGTTGTCTTTATTTGAAAGGCAGGGAGGGACAGAAGAATCTCCCACGCACTGGTTCACTCTCCCAACGTCTGCACCAACCCGGGGCTGGCCCGGGCCGTAGCCTGGAGCCAGGAACTGCATCGGGGTCTCCCACATGGGTGACAGGGACCCACGCACGTGGGTCAGCACCTGCTGCCTCCCCGGGTGTGTGTGCGTAAGCAGGAGCTGGAATGGAGCCGGGACTCGAGCTGCCGGCGCACTGGCAGCAGTTTAACCGCCGTGCCAAGTGCCACCCTTTTCCTGCCTCTCAACCACCCTGGGGCAGCGGGTCCTTTGTGGGAAGGGGGCACCCCAGGAGCCTGGCTTGGGGGAAGGAGTGTTCCCTGTCTTAGTCGGGGGGAGGGCGGGGGCAGCCCCCGAGGGGCCACGTACCAGCGTCTGTGAGAGGAGATGAAAGCTGACACGCTCCGTGGCCTGGGCTCCCCGTGCCGCCAGACACAAAAGGCCACACACTGTGTGACTCCATTGATCTGAGACGCCCAGGACGGGAGGAGCCACAGAGACAGGCTCCTTTTCATGGGGGGAGGGGCTGGGAACGTTCTGGAACTGCCTCTTGGTCGCGCAGTGCTGCGAATGCCAAGGATGCGCTGAGCTGTGCACGTCAAGGTGGCTCGTTTCGGGCTGCGCTGGTTTCATCCCGAGTTTATTTTTAAAGCAAAAGTTCTGTGTCGGGCTGTCGGCCCCCGGAGCTGTGCAGTTCCTCCGGGGGTGGGCCTTGCTCCCCCACACCCGGCTGGGCGCAGCCTGGCTCTGCGCCCGTCACACCTCCGTTGCCGCCGACACACAGAAGCGCGAGTGGGATTTTCACACATCAGGAAACCTTTTTTTTTTTTTTTTTAAACCATTTACAAATGTGAAAACCGTTCTGGGCTCACAGGCAGGGTCTGGACCCGTCCCCTGGGCCGCAGTTCACGCAGTCTGCCTCAGCCAGCCGCGCGTCACAGGTTGTCCCAGGGAGGGAGCGGCCGTGGCCGTGGCCGGGCTGCCCATGGCCCGCGTCCGGGCTCCTGGGTTTCATTCCAGGCTCAGGCAAGCCCTGGGAGGCAGCAGCGGTGATGCAAAGAACTGGATCCCTGCCGCCCGCATGGGAGACCTGGACGGAGTCCCCGGCTCCCGGCCCAGACCGGCCTTTGCAGACACTGGGGGAGTGAGACTGGTGGGTGGATGCCCCTCTTCCCCGTCTCAGACTGAAAAAATAACAACAGTTTAAAACATCCAGGAGCAGAACAGTGTCCGTGCTGACCACGTCCAGAGTTTCTTCCTCCTCATTATTCCCTGAACAACAGGGGGTAGCATCATTCCCGCAGCCCGCACACTGCCGCGGGCTCCGGGAGGCGCCCAGAAATCACGGGAGGTGCGCAGGCTCTGTGCGACTCCTGCGCTGTTCTCTCGGCACTGGAGCAGCCTAAGAGCTTGGCATCCGCAGGGGGTCCCGTGAGCCAAAGCGGGAGAGGGATTAGGGAGCCAGCGTGTGGCACCGCGGGTTAGGCCGCCAGCTGTGCCGCTGGCAGGCATCCCGTGTGGGAGCAGTGGTCCTGGCCCCAGCTCCTCTACTCTGACCCGGCTCCCTGCTGCTGCGTGTAGGAAGGCAGCGGAGGATGGCCCCAGTGCTGGGTCCCTGCGCCCACAGGGGAGACCCGGATGGAGCCCTGCCTCCTTGCTTCTCACAGTAGCCGTTTGTCGGGTGACAGAATGTGTGTGTGTGTGTGTGTGTGCGTGTGTGCGTGTCTAGCCCTCTGTCTTCCAGGTAACCAAGTCTTTAACAGAGGGGGATTCCAGCACTTGGCGTTTCTTGTGTCAGAGGGACGCAGAAAGTAGAACGGACGTGGTGGGGCTCAGCACAGCTCCACGCCACCGTCTTTGCCGGTTCTTCTCTGGGCCCCCGGTGCAGCCAGCGTCCAAGGCTCCCAGAGGAAGCAGCAGGGCCAGGGGTGGGGCCCGTGGAGGCGCCATCCCCGTGGCCTGAAACCCGGCCTCCGTGTCCCCCACAGGCCTTCGGAAACGCCAAAACAGCCCACAACAACAACTCGAGCCGGTTCGGGAAGTTCATCCAAGTCAACTACCTGGAGAGTGGCATCGTGAGAGGGTGAGGGGCGCCCGGCGACACGCGTGTGGGGGCGCGGGGCAGGGGCGGGCCATCCGGAGTCGGAGCAGCAAGTTTGGGGGCAGGGCCCGGGGGAGGGGCAGGGCCCCGGGGGACACCACCGCCGGAATGAGCGTGGGAGCCGCTGGTGCCCTGTGCCGGCTGGTGTTCACCAAGAGCAGGCCCTGGCCGGGATGGTGTCGCTGAACCGGTAGGTCTGGGCGTGGCACAGGCCGAGCGTGACCACAGGGAGGTCCGAGGCGGTCCTCCAAGGACGTCTTGAAGGCCGCGGTGGGGAGATGGGCGGATCCGCGGTGCATGGATGAGTAGGTGGATGTGCAGATGGTAGATTTGTGGATGGACGGATGGGTGGGTGGGTGAGTGGATTCAGACGAGCAGGCTTGTGGATGGATGGGTGAGTGGTGTATACATGTGTGAGTAGGTGGGTGAACACGCCGGTGGGTGGGTCAGTGGCGTCCTGGCAAGGCCCGCTGAATGCGTGAGGTGGCCAGCACCACGGCTCTCGCACTCGGGGCCATCAGGAAGGGAACTGAACGGCCTGGGTGCGAGCACTGGGTACCAGGCTGGACAGTGTGGTTATGGCAGTCAGCTCCTGAGGGGCCGGCGGCACGGACCCGCTGGACCAGGCGGGCGGGGCGGCGCAGGGTCTCCTCACCCCCCTCGTGGCAGCGCACGACGTGCAGATCGCCCGTTTCTGGAATTAGCCACGGAATGTTTCTGGGCCACGGTTGACCACAGGAAACCGGAGCCGTGGAAATACAAGCCGCAGATAAGCAGGGACCCCCACAAGGTCACGTCCACAGGTTCCAGGGGCCACCACGTGCAGCAGGCCCCCCCCCCCCAGGCTCCCCTCAAGGTCAGGACCCGTGGCCCCTGGTGGCCCCAGCGCAGTCTCATACACCAGCTCTGGAAATTTCTCTCCGCGGCCTTGGGGTCAGCGGAGGAAGTCCCGCCTTGACCAGGATCTCGGTCCTCCTCCCCCGGGGGAAGGGGCGCCCTTCCTGTCCCCAGAGAGACCACGGCCACCTGACGAGCGAGAAGCAGGCGGCCCAGACCCAGTTCTGCTTTTCCACTGTTTCCCACCAAGGCCAAGGGTCACTGCCGACCGAGCCCTGCTTCCCCATCAATGTGGCTCCGTCTTCCTGCCGAGGAGCCCCGGGTCCCTACAAGGCCCCCTTCAGAGGGGACGCAGGCCTTGGAAACGATTGGGAAAGGGAAGGGGCTGTGGTCACACCCCGGTCATAGGCAGGGACTCGGCCCCTCCCCAGAGAAACAGACCCAGCAGAGGTGCCAAACTTGCATGGATGCCAGGCCACGCCCCTGGACACCCACCCGTGCACGGTGGGCGTCCCCATGGCAGAGAGGGACCGAAAGCCCTGGACCAGGGCCCCGAGCTGTCCTCGGCCCTGCCACCCTCGGGCATCGGCCCTGTGGGGTGGGGAGGGGGCTCAAGTCCTGACTGCCCCGGGTGCCGGCTTCCTGCCGATGTGCACCCTGGGAAGTGGCAGTGATGGCGCAAGTGCAGGGGTCCCTGCCGCCCATGTGGGAGACCCAGGTGGAGTTCACGCTTCTGGCTTCAGCCTGGCTGAGTCTCAGGCGTATTAGGCATTTGAGGATTCAGCCGGGGAACGGGAGCATATTCTCTCTCTCTCTCTCTCTCTCTCACCCCAGCATCACTACTCTCCTGCTTTGGGGCCTTTATTAAATGGAACAACCCTCTGTTTCAGGTGAATAAAGCACCTTTAAAAAAAAAAAAAAGATTTATTTTATTTGAAAGAGTTACAGAGAGAAGTAGAGAAAGAGGTCTTCCATCCACTGGTTCACTCCCCAAATGGCCACAACGGCCAGAGCTGAACCTATCTGAAACCAGGAGCCAGGAGCTTCTTCCAGGTCTCCCATGTGGGTGCAGGGGCCCAAGGACTTGGGCCATCTTCTACTGCTTTCCCAGGCCACAGCAGAGAGCTGGATCGGAAGTGGAGCAGCCGGGTCTCGAACCAGTGCCCATATGGGATGCCGGTGTTTCAGGCCAGGGCTTTAACCCGCTGCGCCACAGCGCCAGCCCCTAAAACACCTTTTCTAAATGTGGCAGGCTGGGGCAAGGGGGGCTTTGCTCAGTCTGCTCCCAGCTGTGGTGGGAGCTGGGGGAGACAGACCGCCCCCTCTCCCCCGGGCAGCCACAGAGCCCCCACCAGGCCACCAGGCCTCTCAAGCCTCAGCTCCTGGTCCATCAGCAGAAGCCCCCGTGCCCACGCTGGTGGGTGGAGGGTTCCCCGAGAAGTCCTTTGATCAGTGGCCACAGCAGCCGTGGGGTCTGGGGAAAGTTCACAGAAAATGCAGCAGATCACCGAAACATCATGCGTAACTGTCACAGTTCTTCGCATCAAAATAAGCTTCTCTTCAAAACATATTTGAAAAAGTGACAGAGAGGTCTTCCATCTGCTGGTTCAGCCCCCAGATGGCCACAACAGCGAGAGGCAGGCCAGGCCAAAGCCAGGGGCCAGGAGCTCCATCCGGGTCTCCCGCGTGGGCGGCAGGGGCCCAAGCACTCGGGCCGTCACTGCCGCCTCCCTGGCAAGTTAGTGGGAGCTGGATCAGAAGTGGAGCGCCTGGGGGCTCGAACCGTTGCCCCTGAACTCGGGTTCTCACTGCATTTTTCCAGGGACTTCTGAAGCCCCCTTGCAGTGGGTCTTTCGGAAATGTCCCCCACAGCTGCTGCAGCCCAACGCCACAACCCCAGACCCAGAAGCGTCCAGAAGCTGGAACTGCTGTGAGCGCCCATGTGACACACAAGGGGAAAATTCCTCCCCTGGACCGGTGACAGGGCCCCCTGGGCACATGGGCACATGGGCACACGAGCCCTACCAGGCCAGCCCTTCAGCTGCGATACTCAAAACTAATGTTTCATGCACAAAGTTAGCCAAAACATCCCGTAAAGTCCCTTTCTGGCCGTGGGTAGCAAGTGTCTATGAAAGAAATGAATTTCGTCTTTAGACTTGGGTCCTGTCCTCGGGCTTCCTCGTGGCACGTATGCCAGTGTTCCAGAATCTTCCGCAGCCCAGAGCTGGAGGACTTGTGGTTTCCCGGGGTTCTGGATGACAGATTGTCAGCCCGGATGATGGGAGCTGGGGACCCAGCAGGTCTCCCGCAGGGGTGGGAAGGACCCGACTGCTTGGGCCGTCACCTGCTGCCTCCCAGGGTGCACTTGAGCAGGGGACGCGTCAGGGGCCGGTGCCAGGACTGCACTCCGGCCCAGACTCGCTGACGCTCCGCAGACGCTGTGCAGGCCTGCGGGCGCAGTGCTGAGCGTGCCTGCGGGCCGCCCTGGTCCTCCAGCACACACACAGCCTCACGCCCCAAGGCCAGCTCTGACCCCCCATGCCTCCCTCGGGGGAACGTGCCACTCCCCTGACACACAGCAGAGGTTCAGACCGTGTGGAAGCAGCCCAGGATGGACAGGGTCGAGGCCCAGTCCCGCTTCTGATCCAGCTCCCTGCTAACGCACCTGGAAAAGCAGCAGAAGGCGGCCCGAGTGCTTGCAGCCACGTGGGAGACACCCCCCGCAGCCCCCGCCATTGGAGTTCTAGGCTCCTGGCTTTGGCCTGGTCCAGTCCTGACTGTTACAGCCATTTAGGGAGTGGACCAGCAGATGGAAGAGTCTCTCCCTCCCTCCTCTTCCTCCCCAACTCCTCATAACTCTGGTTTTCAAACAAATTTTTTTTTTTTTTTTTGACAGGCAGAGTGGACAGTGAGAGAGAGAGACAGAGAGAAAGGTCTTCCTTTTGCCGTTGGTTCACCCTCCAATGGCCGCCGCTGCAGCCGGCGCACCGCGCTGATCCTGGCAGGAGCCAGGAGCCAGGTGCTTTTCCTGGTCTCCCATGGGGTGCAGGGCCCAAGCACCTGGGCCATCCTCCACTGCACTCCCTGGCCATAGCAGAGAGCTGGCCTGGAAGAGGGGCGACCGGGACAGAATCCGGCGCCCCAACCGGGACTAGAACCCGGTGTGCCGGCGCCGCAAGGTGGAGGATTAGCCTATTGAGCCACGGCGCCGGCCCTCAAACAAATATTTTAAAAGAAGGTGAGGGCCCAGCTGTTTGACCTCCTGGGATACCCGCGCCCACATCAGAAGGCCCGGGTTCAGTGCCTCCCCCCCCCCCCCCGGCTCCTGGCTCCTGGCTCCTGGCTCCTGGCCCAGCTCCCTGGTGACAGCTCAAGGAGCTGAGTCCCTGCCGCCCACGTGGGAGACCGGGTGCAGCCCCCGCCCCAGCTGTTGTAGACATTTGAGGAGTGAACCAGCAGACGAGAACTCTCTGTGCCTGTCTCTATGTCTCTCTACCTTGAATGAATAAAAAATGAAAAGGCAAACCCCAGATTCCAAGAAGGCGCCTGCTGGTCATAGATCCAGCAAAGTGCTCCGTGGTGCAGTGGGTTGAGCTGCCGCGCGTGGTGCCTGCATCCCATGGCAGAGTGCTGTTTGAAGTCCTGGCCACGCCACTGCCAACCCAGCTCCCTGCGAATGCACCTGCGCAGGCAGCACGTGATGGTTCAACGTGGGAGCCCCGGATGGAGCTCCTGGCTCCTGGCTCCCGGCTTCTGCCTGGCCCAGCCCCAGCCCCAGCCGATGGAGCTCTCTGGAGTCAGCCCACAGATGGAAGATAGTGCTCTCTCCATCTTCCTCTCCCTCGTCTTTCTGCCTTTCAAGTCGGTGAATAAATCTGACTCGTGTCTGTAATATACAAAGAGCGTTGATGGGTTAGTGATAGGACCGACTCCCTCAGGGCATCCCCGCACCAAACTCCCACCCCAACTGGGTGTTTTAAATATGTGCCACTGATTATCCAGAAAAGCTGTAAGAAAGAACACAAGCATTTTAAAGTTGGAGGAAAATTCCATGGCTGGGGTGGTGTTGGGAGCGGGCACCCTTTGCCTGCCGGGTCACGCACGGGTCCGGACGCATGGTGCCGCAGGGCCTGTCCATGGCCGTCCGTGACCCACGGGGATCTGGGTGTGTGCGAAGGGTCCCCGCAGGGTTGCGCGTTCTCGGAGGACGAGGTCGCACTTAGGGCGTGGGTGTTTGCCTCGTGAATCTGTAGCGCCTTCGTAACCAAGTACCGCGGGGAAACGTAGCCCTCGATGTAACCGCCGGCCCCTCTCTCCTGGCAACAGAGCCGTCGTGGAGAAATACCTGCTGGAGAAGTCTCGCCTGGTGTCTCAGGAGAAGGATGAGCGGTGAGGAGGCGTTTCCTGGGGAGACGCCCGCCTCCCGGGGTCCCGGGAGAAGGGGTCCCTCAGGTTTCTACCTGAAATGTGTGATGAGAAACCTCTGTGGCTGACAAGGAGGACGGACGCCCAGCCCCCACCCCCAGGTCACCCCAGAGGCTGACAAGTTCTCTCTCTCCTTTCTTTTAAAAAGACCTAATAAGAGGCCGGCGCTGTGGCTCACTAGGCTAATCCTCCGCCTTGCGGTGCCGGCACACCGAGTTCTAGTCCTGGTCGGGGCGCTGGATTCTGTCCCGGTTGCCCCTCTTCCAGGCCAGCTCTCTGCTGTGGCCAGGGAGTGCAGTGGAGGATGGCCCAAGTGCTTGGGCCCTGCACCCCATGGGAGACCAGGAGAAGCACCTGGCTCCTGCTGTCGGATCAGCGCGGTGCGCTGGCCGCGGCGGCCATTGGAGGGTGAACCAACGGCAAAGGAAGACCTTTCTCTCTGTCTCTCTCTCCCACTGTCCACTCTGCCTGTCAAAAAAAAAAAAAAAAAAAAAAAAAAAAAAAAAGACCTAATAAGAGCCGACTCAGTGGTTCGGAATCTGTAGTGTTCAGGGGCTTCCCCTCCTGGGCGGGGTATCCCCCGGCAGCAGGGATGCTGCTTCCGAAAGCAGGGAACGCTGTAAAACAGGGACCTTTCCCCCTCCCGACCCGCAGGAACTACCACGTGTTTTATTATTTGTTGCTCGGTGTCAGTGAGGAGGAGCGCCAAGAATTCCAGCTCAAGCAGCCCGAAGATTATTTCTACCTCAACCAGGTAACCGGTCCCCGCCCACACGCCCACCCCACACGTCGGCTCCGCCCCCTGCACCACCCCCATACCTGAACCACGCCCACCCAGAACCACGCCCACCCCGCACATTGGCTCCGCCCCCAGGGGCCGCCTGAGCCACACCCACCCACACAGTCGGCCCCACCCCAGGACCGCCTGAGCCACGCCCGCCCACATGTCGGCTCCGCCCCCATCCGCGAGCCACGCCCGCCACAGGCATTGGCTCCCTGGCCTCCCCAGTCCGCCCAGACACCCGGCACCTGCCAGCGCAGCCTTTGTTTTCCAGCATAACTTGAAGATTGAAGACGGGGAGGACCTGAAGCACGACTTTGAGAGGCTCCAGCAGGCCATGGAGATGGTGGGCTTCCTGCCCGCCACCAAGAAGCAGTGAGTGCGGTGCCCTCACTCCCACCGGCCACGCGCAGACTGGTTTATTTTAAAGACGTATTTGTGAATTTGAAAGGCAGAGTTACAGATAGAGAGAGAGAGGTCTCCCATCTGCTGGTTCACTCCCCAAATGATTGCAGCAGCCAAAGCTGGGCCAGGCCAAAGCCAGGGCCGGGAGCTCCGTGGGAGGGTCTTCCCCTGCTTCTCCCGGAAGCATCCGCAGGGAGCTGGATGGAGTTAAGTGGAACAGCCAGGACACGTCCCGGGGCCCATCCGGGACGCCGGCCCGGCAGGCAGTGGCTTAACCACCACGCCATGGCATCGCCACCCCACACACACTCCGAGATTTGCCCCAGGAGAAAGCAGGTGTCCCAGATGGCACTGCCCTGAGGATCAGGGCCCAGCGCCGGCGAGCACATGAGAAGGGGCCCTGGCTGAGAGCCGCCAGGAGGCACCAAGGAAAACCGACGCGCATGCGCCGAGCACTCCCGCACGGCACCCGATGGCGGCCAAGCCGGCACCTTTCGTGTGGCGCTTTTTAAGTTTTACTTATTATTCGAAAGAGATCTATCCGCTGGTTCGCTCCCCCAGATGCCGGCCACAGCCAGGGCTGGGCCAGGGAGTCAGGGACCTGCCGCCTCCTCTTGGCGTGCACATGAGCCAGGTCGGGCGCAGGCACTCGGCGCGGGCGGCGAGTGTGCCAACCACCCATCCCAGGCAGGCGTAACCACAGTGGACACTTCTTTAAAAAAAAGTTGAAAAACCAACCTGGGGTGCCCGGCACACCCGCCCGAGCCACAGCTCGGGGCCCACAGCTGTTGCAGAGGTCTGGGCGTGAACCAGCCAAGAACAGGAAAGCTCGCTCGCTCTCTTTCCCCATCTCTGCCTTTCAAATAAAAATACACACAAACATTCAAGCAGGTATCTTGAAAAAGCCCCCCTCCCTAGGGAAATGCAGCTCCTGAAAGTCGCAGTGGCCGTCCGCAGGGCCGCTGTCCGCAGCGGAGACCCCGCCCTCCTGCATGCCGGCCGCTCTGGGCTCCTCTCCCGCTCTCTGACCCCCGCCCCCCCCCCCCCCCCCAGGATCTTCTGCGTGCTCTCGGCCATCCTGGACCTGGGCAACATCACTTACAAGAAGAGAGCCACGGGCCGCGACGAAGGCCTGGAGGTCGGGCCCCCGGAGGTCCTGGACACGCTGTCCCAGCTCCTGAAGGTACCCCGCTGCCTGCGCCCCTCCCCCAGCCACGCCAGCCCTGCCCTCGGCCACAGCTGGGCGAGGCCAGAACCTCTGGACTTGGCCCGGGTTTTGTCAGCCGGGGACCTGCTGGCTGCCTTCTCCCTCATGGTCTCTGCCGTGACCCTGCCCCCGTCCCACTGGCCCCCCGTGCCTGTGCCGCTGTGGCTTTTCTTGGGGCAGGCCTATGGGGGTCCTCGTTCTGTTGTCTTCTTGGGGTGCCTCTGGGACCAGGCCGAGCCAGGAAGGCAGCCGGCTCTCGCAGACACAGCTCCGCGTGCGGGTTGCCGGGCTGCGGCCGGGGGTCTGTCTCCCACCTTCCTCGGCCTGCAGGGCCTGCCCGCCTCAGTGGCACGAGGACGGCCCGGCCCCACACGCTCACCTCCCCACTCCGTCTCGCCCTCCTTGGAACAGGTGAAGCGCGAAATTCTGGTGGAGGTGCTGACCAAGAGGAAAACGGTGACGGTCAATGACAAGCTCATCCTGCCCTACAGCCTCAGCGAGGTGAGCCCCGCCCCAGACACAGGCCCTGGGCAGGGTCCTTCCGAAAGGGCCGGCGCGGCCTGGTCTCCGCTGCCCAGCTCTGGCTCAGCCGTGGCCCTGACCAGCTCACCGGAGACTCAGCAAACGCGGGCACCCCGAGCTGAGACGCCCCCGTGTGTCCGCAGGCCGTCACCGCCCGCGACTCCATGGCCAAGTCGCTGTACAGCGCCCTGTTCGACTGGATCGTGCTGCGCATCAACCACGCGCTCCTCAACAAGAGAGACGTGGAGGAGTCGGTCTCGGTGAGCGGCCGCCGCCGGGCCGGGGAGGCAGCAGGCCCAGCGCCCAGCGTCCTCGGCGCCCAGAGCCAGCGCTGGGCGGGTGGTCGGGGCCGGTGCTGGGGCACGGCCGGTTAAGCCGCCGCCTGTCACCTGTGTGACGTATGGGGCACCCGCGATCGAGTCCCGGCTCCTCCACGTCGGGCCCAGCTCCCTGCTGCCGCGCCTGTGGAGGCCGCTGTTGATGGCCCAAGGGCTGGGGCCCCTGCACCCACGGGGGACCTGGGTGGCGCTCCCGGCTCCTGGCTTCAGCCTGGCTCAGCCCTGGCTGTGCGGGCATTTGAGGAGTGCCAGTGACCGCCCCCCTGCCCCTGCCTCCCCAGTGCCTGTCCATCGGGGTCCTGGACATCTTCGGCTTCGAAGACTTCGAGAGGAACAGCTTTGAGCAGTTCTGCATCAACTACGCCAACGAGCAGCTGCAGTACTACTTCAACCAGCACATCTTCAAGCTGGAGCAGGTGCGCGGGCCGCGTGGGGGCGTGTACATGGGTGTGTGCATGTGCGTACATGGGTGTGTGCCTGCGTGTACATGGGTGTGTGTGCCTGCAGGGTCTCTGTGCACGTCAGGTGCATGCATGCGCGTGTGTGTGCGTAGTGTGTGTGTGCACAGTCACGTGTACATGCATGGTGCCTTGCACACACGTGTGTGCGTGCATGTATGTGCACATATGTGTGTGCGATAAAACACACGCCGCCTACTACAGCATCATCGCCGTCGCTGAGCCTGCGTCTCAGTGACAGCAAGTATTGGCCAGCCCTCCACACACGCAGGGGCCCGGTGTCAGGATCCCCGCCTGCACCAGACTCCAAGGGCGCCCGGGTACCCAGGCAGCAGCGTTGGCATAGAACCTGCCAGACTGCTGTCCAGCGCCCCGTGCAGTGCAAACGCCTGGGCTGCTGAGGGAAGGGGCCGCTGTGTGGGGCAGGAGCAGCGCACTGCTTGACCCAAGGCCGACTGACTCTGGATGGGAACTTGGGGGATGTCACGGACGGGCTCCTCCCAATTTGCTGTGTGCCCGTCGCCCAGCCCAGAACACTCAGACTCTGTCCCCACAAAGCAGCCTCCGGCACCCCCCACACCCACACCCTGGTACTTCTTTTTTTTAAGGTATTTATTTACTTGAAAGAGATAGAAAGGCAGAGAGAGAGAGATCTTCCACCTGCTGGTTCACTCCCCAGATGGCTGCAACAGCCAGGGCTGGGCCGGGCTGAAGCCAGGAGCCAGGAGCTTCTTTCTGGGTCTCCCAGGTGGGTGCAGAGGCCCAAGCACTTGGGCCATCTTCCACTGCATCAGCAGGGAGCTGGATCAGAAAGGGAGCAGCCGGGACTCGAACCGGTGCCCTTGGGGGATGGGGCTTTAGCCGCTGCACCGCAGCGCTCGCCCCACCATTGTACTTTGTGTCTCAGTGCATGGACGGCGCCAGCGAGTGGAGTCGGCGAGGACCTGTCTTTTGTGCCCGACCTATTCCGTTTAGCACGGCTGCCTGTTCCTTTTTCCCACCAAGGAGTGTGGCTTGGCACCACGCCGCTACCTGGGTCGCTCCCTCCTGGGTGCTGCTGGGACATGGGTCCGCAGTGACCCCTTTGAGGCCCTGCTGGGGCCCCTAGAAGTAGGACCGCCGGTTCCTGTGGGGGTCTCTGTTGAATGTTCGGACGCATTGCCACCGCAGCTGCGCCTGCGTGCGAGGAAGTCCCACCTTGTCAGCCGCCAGCCAGCCCCTGGGGAAATGAGGCCGCCTGGAACCGGGATCTCCCTCGAAGCCCAGACCCATGGCAAACCTGCCCCAGAATTTTCCTCCCCCCGGGGGAAAGTCCGGGAAGCCCCCCACCACCCTGCCTCCGGACGAGGCGAGTGTCAGGACGCCTGGGGACTTTTGGGAGCCCTCTTCACCCGGCTAGGAACGTCTTTCAGCTGCAAGAGGTGGCGTCGCCCTGTTGCTTCGGTCGGCAGCCGCAGCGTCTCTCTGACGGTCTCTCCACCGCTCAGTCGCCAGCCAGCAGCCACCAACATTGTCTCCATGCTGATTCTGGTGGGGCAGCTGGCGGGTTCGTGGCTGGCGTTAGCTGATTTTACCCCGGGGCCTCCTGGCTGCCCGGCACTGGTCCAGACCAAATTGCGCAGGATAGCGGGAGACGCATCCAACACAGCAAAGACTTAGAGCAGACGAGGGGAGAAGTCACGCTCGCCTTGCTTTGTTCACGTGATCAGGCTGGGAGACCTGGGCTTCGATCCAGGGTGCTCTTGTGGGGCAGGGTCGCATCCCACGTCTGAGCACCAGGGCTGGAGTCCCAGCCCTGCACTTCGAATCCAGCCAGCGGCTGCAGGTACACCAATGTGGGAGACCCGGATGGAGCTCCTGGTTCCCAGAGGGAGCCTGGCCTGGTTCAGGCTGTTGTGAGCATTCGAGGAGTGAACCAGCAGATGAGAGCCCTGTCTGTCTCTGTCTCTCTCTGTCACGCTCGTATTAATGTCTAATTCAGAATAGCTGGGGAAGGACCTGCACGGTAGTGAGCGCACACAGCTCTCCTGTCCCCACAGCGCCGCAGTGGAACCAGCCGTTGACACCGCGTCCACGGTGTCCGGGGTTGCCCCACGGGAGGATGCGCCCAGGTTCTGTGCCGTGTGCGTGGATGGCGGGGTCCGTGGGGGCTCCTGGTAGCCAGCCCCGCGGGTTCTGAGGGACGCCTGTGTGTGCCGCCCGCCCCGCCCCGCCCCTGCAGGAGGAGTACCAGGCCGAGGGGATCACGTGGCACAACATTGACTACACCGACAACGTGGGCTGTATCCACCTCATCAGCAAGAAGCCCACGGGCCTCTTCTACCTGCTGGACGAGGAGAGCAAGTGAGTGGCCGTGGGCAGGCCCATGTGAGGCCTGTGCGCCGGACCGGGGAGGAGGCGCTGGCTTCTCGCGCAGGGTGCCGACTCAGGGCCGAGCCTCCCGCCCTACGGTCTCTGAGGGGCCTGGGTCTCGGTTGCCCAGCTCACTTCCCGCCGCTGCCGTAATGGGCGACCACAGACCAGGTGGCCTGCAACACCCAGAGTTGACTCTGACCGTGCGTGAAGCCAGCCGTCAAGGGGCGGCGCTCGCTCCCGGCAGGGTCCCTCCTGCCTCTCCCGGCTCCTGGGGGCTGCATGTTCCCCGGCCCCTCCCTCCCACTTCTCCTCTCTGCCCACCAGTCTCCCCTTCCCTTCTCCCTGTCACCCTGGAGTGGGGTCCACGCCCGGCCTCCTCACGATGGTGGCCGCAAAGACCCTCCTGTTGGGCCCCCAGCCCTCCTTCCCCTCTGTCGTCCCTGTGTGCGGGTGGGCAGGGCCGCACGCGTGACAGGTGCAACCCATCTTAAACCAAACGCCAGAGGGGCTGGCGCTGTGGCGTAGCGGGTGCAGCTGCCACCTGTAACGCCAGCATCTCACATGGGCACTGGTTCAAGTCCTGGCTGCTCCACTTCCAATCCAGCTCCCTGCTAAGGTGCCTGGGAAAGCAGTAAAGGCTGGCCAAGTGCTGGGGCCCCTGCACCTGTGTGGGAGACCCGGATGGAGCTCCTGGCTGCTGGCTTCAGCACCACCCCCACCGACCATGACTCTGCCTTTCAAATATATAAACACGTCTTTAAACCAAGAAGAACCACACACACACACACACACACACACAAAACGGAAGGGGCAGAAAGATGCTCTCACTGCCCCAGCCAGGACCCAGGTGATAGATATCCAGACAGGGCCCGGGCCCAGGGGAAACTCTGTCCTCACAGCCAGGAAACTCCCAGGGCCCGGCAGGGGAGGCCCGCCGTGTTTTTATTTAAAAGTCTTGCTATTTTTGTCCATCATGGAAAATTTCTTTTTGCACGTTGATTTGAATGTTTTCTGTCCCCGGCTGTGTTGCTGGGTTGGGGGGGCAATGCCGCCCCCTCCCTGTCCTGATTTCCACAGCCCCGCAAACACTGCGTTCAGAGCCCTCCCCCTGCTGCCCGCCGTGAGCCGCGCAGCCCCAGTGCCGGGGATGTGGGCACACACACGGCCCTGCCTGTGTCTGTGGTGAGGGCGGGCGCGGGGCATGCCGGGGGCCCCGTGGCGTCTCCCTCCCGGGAGGCAGAAATAGCCAGGTACAAGGAGTCCCTTCTTCTGTCCCGCGCCCCTCCCAGGGCTGGACAGAGCCCCACTTCATCCACGAGGCCAGCCACTCCCGCGGCTGGGGCAAGGCCTCCAGGTGCACCCTGGCCCGGGGTGATTCTCAGAGGCTGTCCACGGCAGGCCCCGGCGCAGGCCTCGCTGGGCCGAAAGCGCGCATACAGCACCCCCAAGGCCCATCTGCAGCCCCAGGCCAACGGCAGGGTGGGGGAGGAGAGTGAGGACCAGCTCTGATGCCATGGGCCCCGGGGTGCCCACAGGCGGGCACGTGCACCTACTGGTCCTTCCCACGTTCGTCTGCCCGTGCCCCCGCCCACGGAGCCCCCCACAGACCCACTGCACTGCCCAGAGCTGCCCCGGCGCCCGCCCGCCCGCCCACAGCGTGAAGCCGCGAGCTGGTCCCCAGCCCTGAAGGTGCCCGCTTGTCTTCCAGCTTCCCCCACGCCACCAGTCAGACGCTGCTGGCCAAGTTCAAGCAGCAGCACGAGGACAACAAGTACTTCCTGGGCACCCCGGTCCTGGAGCCGGCGTTCATCATCCAGCACTTCGCCGGGAAAGTGAAATACCAGATCAAGGTGTGTGCGTGCCCGTGCCGGCCCCCGCCACGGGAGCCGGGGCCGTGGGGCCACCCCTTCCCTCCGGCGCCCGCTCAGCCCGGCCCAGCTCCCTGGCTGCAGCGTCCAGGGCCTCCAGGCAGAGCATCTGTCAGGTCTTCATCGCTGCCTGCCGTGGGCGCGACTTGGGAAGGTTCTGGAACACGGGGCCCTCCCGTCTGGGCTCTGGTGAGGGCCTTCCTGCCCGCAGTCGTGGGTGGCGCAGAGCATGCCGGGGCAGAAAGCACAGATGTTCATCTTGTCTCTCTGTAAAGCCACCAGGATTGAATCCTGGGGACAACCCCCCAACCCCCCCACCGATGACCCCATCCAGTCCTGAAGGCCCTGCCTCCCAACAGCAGGACTGGTCCAAGGGCCCACCTCTCAGCACCCTCAGCGTGGGACTGAGGACCAAACCCCTGGGCTGAGGGGACAGGCTGGGGGCTGCCTTGCGGTGTGGAGATGGCTCCCCCCCCAGGCCCTCCTGAACAGCTGTCTGCCCCCACCCCGAGCAGGACTTCCGGGAGAAGAACATGGACTACATGCGACCCGACATCGTGGCCCTGCTGCGGGGCAGCGACAGCGCCTACGTGCGCGAGCTCATCAGCATGGACCCCGTGGCCGTCTTCCGCTGGGCCGTGCTGCGCGCCGCCATCCGCGCCATGGCTGTGCTCCGCGAGGCCGGGCGCCTGCGGGCTGAGAGGGCCGAGAAGGCCGCAGGTAGGGGGTGCGGTCGAGAGGAGGCCACGTGCTTCATGTGCTCCGTCCTTTGTGGGGGGGAGCGAGACTGAAAGCGAGAGCTCCCATCTGGGTCACTCCCCAGGTGGCCACGACAGCCAGGGCCGGGCCAGGCCGGAGCCGGGAGCCGGGGGCAGCGGCAGGGGCCCAGGCACTGGGGCCATCGCTGCGGCCTCCCAGGGTGCGTCAGCAGGAAGCCGGAGCCGGGACTGGCACCCGGGCAGCCTGACGTCGTAGCCGGAAGCCCACCCCGGAGCCCACTTCAGAGTGAACAGTTCATTCATGCTTAGTGCAGGTGGCACAGCCCTGATCTGAAACCGCCTGGGGCCAGAAGTGTTTCAGATCCTATAATGTCCGCACGCATGTAGTGAGACACACGGCAGCGAGTCCGGCGTCCACACAGCGCACACGTCGCATGCGCGAAAGCTGTGGCACAGGGGAGTCAGGGAAGCTGGTGTTGCTGGGAGAAGACCTTGCAGCTTCACGAGGCGTGTTTCCACGCTTCCTGCACTGCTTTCCCGGGCGCATCCGCAGGGAGCAGGCTGGGGAGTGGAGCAGCCGGGACTCGAACCTGGCGCTCCGATAGGGGACGCGGGCGTCACAGGCAGAGGCTTAACCCACTACACCGCAAAGCCAGCCCTCAGTAAAGTAGCTTTTGAAAAAATAGTGCTCCAAGCCTCGGCAGAAGTTAGGTAGATCCCTGTCCACTCTGTCCCCAGCAGACGTGGGCAGTCCTGGCAGCCGAAGCCACGCGGGGGAGCCGCCGAAAGGAGCCGGCACGCCGTCGGAAAAGCTGTACCGGTGAGCGAGGCCTCGGTCTGCCCGAGCTGAAGGCGCGAGCCAGCGGCGCTGTTCACAAACAACTCGGGGTCGGGGATCCAGGCAGGATGGGGCCGCTCCGTGCGAGCCCAGGGGACCCCGCGGGGGCGGCGGCCTCGGGCGCGGGTTCTGTTGCCTGCACGCCGACCCCGCAGAGGCTCGGTGTCATGAAGGACTTCCTAAGCCCTCCGTTTCCCGTCTCAGCCCTGGAAACGGTCGTTCTGTTTCTTTAAGCCCCTCGCAGCCTCCTCGGGAGCGTCCCACAGGTGCATGCGTGGAGGCGGGGCTGGCAGCCCGTGAGTGTCCTCCAGCCTGCCGTATGGTACCTGGTCTCCTGTGTTCCTACAAATGGACGTTTCACCCGGTGGGGCACGAGAAAGGCGAAGGCATCCCTGCGTCTGCCTGTGTGTTGGGGTTTTTGGTTTTTGGATTTTTTTTTTTTTGGTCCTGTTTTCACGCCGCGGGGACGGAGCAGAACCCCCGAGCCCCTAGGGCCGCCCTGGTTCTCACGGCTCCTCCCTCGCAGCTGCTCCGTGCTAGATTTCTCACTCAAGGGCTCTGACAGTTCCATATTAACGCTTTTGAGGAACCCGAGACCAGGGAGGCACGGCCGAGAGGAGCCGCCGCAGCGCGGCGCCCAGGGCCGGGAGAGAGGGGCTCGGCTGTCCAGGACACGCTAGCACCTCTCGGGGCGTGCTGCTGCCAGATTTGGCTGGGGCAGGGGCAGGGCAGGAGCTGTGGGCCTGTTTGCCCCCGTGGCCAGCCGTGGCCGTGGCCCTCGGGGTAAGCAGGTGCACGTGACCCCCGTGTTGTCTCTGTTTGCTCTGTGCCTCCCTAGAGTCGAGGGAGCGGAGGTAAGTGTGGCCCCCGGCACAGCGCATGGTGCATGGGGCGCGAGGGCGGGGCTGCTGATGGGGGTCCTCCCAGGCCGCCTGCCCGGAGCTGAAACACGCAGTCCCCGCAGCCCTGTCCCAGACACCGGTCTCCTGGCCGGTCGCCCTTAGCATTTGCGGCCACGCCATCTCAGTTTTCTGCTCTGAGCTGCTCCTGTTCCCCCGTGGTGGTGCCGAGGTTTGGGGCCTAGCACGCGAGCCCACGCTGGCCACCCTGCGCCCTCGGGGTGCCCAGCAACGTCCCTGCCTCCACCCCCAGAGGCCAGGAGCGGGGGCGACACATTGAGGACATGGTGGACCCCTGGCGGACAGCACCCACGCTGACACCGCCACCTTCAGCTTGCTCTTGCGAGCGCTGGAGTCTGTCCCCTCCCCCCAACAAGACTTGTGCAGTCCTTGAGGAGGTGGGCATGGACCGCAGACTGGGTCTCTGCACGGCTTCCCACAGATCCAGAAGCTGGGGGGAGCGGGACACGAAGTAGACTGCCACGGTGACAGATTCGTTTGCCCAAAGCACCACTGCCTCCCCTCCACTGCCACCGCCGTGGCCAGGGCCTGGGAAGGGCGGCCGGTTCCGCCTGGTCCCCCTGCCCAGCCCAGGGGTGGGGGCGGCTCGTCCAGGCGCGTGTTTCAGCTCTGGGGCCTGGGGACCCATGGGGACCCAGGGTGGTGGGCCCCTGGTGCTAACTCTGTCTCTTCTCTGTCACTGCGCCCCCCTCCTCCCCTCCCCCAGCGATTTGCATAACCAAATCATCAAGAGCATCAAGGGGCTGCCGTGGCAGGGCGAGGACCCGCGGAGGCTCCTCCAGGCCCTGGGTCGGCTCCCGAAGCCCTGCACCTCCGTCCTGTGAGTCCCCCATCCTCACCCTCCAGGCCCCGCCCATGAGCGCCACCACTGCCACCTGCCAGGCACTCATGCCCCGCCCCCAGCTGCTCCCCCCACCTCCCCCAGCTCCCAGCACAGCCCCACGTGCCAGGTCCCAGGTTGACAAAAGCGTCGCATGAAGCCCGTTTGCATCTGAGCCCCTCCCTCCCGGTGACTCACCGCCCCCAGATGAGCCCCCCGAGTGCCCTCAGCGTGTGTGTGTGTGACCTCGGCTCCCAAAACCCAGGAATGGCAGCACTCAGACCCTGTGTCTCGGCCCGTTTTCCTGTGGTTGTCACAAGTAACCAGGCTGGAGGGGCAGAGTAGGGCGGCCCCATCTCTCCCACCTCTGGTGGGGGCCTGCGGGCCAGACAGGAAGCCGAGGTCCAGCTCCAGGCTCTTGCTCACGGCAGGGACCAAAATTCATTCATTCCCTCCCTCTCCACCCCAGCCCTGCTTTTAAAGCCCCACCACCACCCAGGGGTCAAAGCCTCCCGCCCGGGAAGCCCTGGGCAGCCTACGTCCAGACCCCAGCCGGCAGCCGGGACTTCCAGGGTCTCCAAATGAACAGCCTAGAGTGGCCCCCGTGCCCATGGGGAGCGCCCCTGTGAGGATGGAGGGGCACCCACCACACACGCTCTGTTGGCTGCAAGATGCCAGTGAGACCCGGGCGTAGGGACGGCCCCAGCCGAGAGATGGGCTTCCATGTTTCCAGCTGCCCTCGCTGCCAGCGGGGCCCGAGCAGCCCCTACCCTTCTCCTCCCACTTCAGGCTCACAGATAGTAGTGGGGGGCTTCAAAGCACCCGTGGAAAATGGGATTACCAGACATCAAGGAGAGGCGCTGTGGGTCTAGCACGGCTTGGGGCCCCCACGTCCCCATCAGGGCGCGGGTCCCAGCGGTCCCGGCAGCCCACTTCCCATCCAGCTGCCGCCAGGGCCCCCGGGAGCCCCTGATGGTGCTCCCGGCTCCTGGCTTCGGCCAGCCCGGCCCGGCCCGGCCCTGGCTGTTGTGGCCATTTGGGGAGTAACCCGCAGAGGGGAGATCCCCCCCCCCACTCACTCTGCCTTTCAAATAAAAACTAAAACTTTTTTAAGTAAAAGATGAATTAGGGGGAAATCCTGTGATTTTTCAGAAGGTGTTTATGTCAGCGTGAGCGGGATGATTCACTCCCGAACCGTTTATGAAGCACCCGCGCAGCCGCCCCGCTTTCCAGGCCCCACGCGGGACCCCTCCCGCCCTTGGCTGTGATTTGAGTTCCACCAGCGCCCGTGCGGGTGCCACCCCCCACTCCCCAGACGGTGCAGGGGGGTGCGGCTGCCGCTGGCTGGCGACCGCGGCACCGCCCCCGTCCCCCCGCCCACCCCCAGCAGGCGGGAGCCCGGGCGTCTCAGGAGGGGTGGCAGCGGCCACCTTGTTCCACTTGTGTCTGTCCACTGACTGCTCTCCGCGCTCTCTCTCCCCCTCTCTCTCTCTCTAACCCGCAAGGCGTGGCTTGCTGCACTAACCCAGACCCGGACAGCGTGTGTCCTTGTGTTCACAAAACCGTTTTTAATATTTTGACAGGAAGAGTAAAGGTATCAAACCAAAGCAGACCATCCCGAAGGTAAAGCCCCACGCCCGCCGCCACGCGTCCTTCGCTCGCTTCGCCGCTCCCCCTCCCCCCACGACCCCGGCGCCAGGCGGCAGCGGAGTCCCACGTCCCAGGGCCTGGGTCCTGGTCCTGGCTCTGCGCTGGCGCCAGCTCCCTGCGCATGCGCACCCTGGGAGGCCGCCGTGACGGCGCAGGTGCTGGGGCTCCCGGACGGAGCCCCCGGCTTCCGCCTGGCCCAGCTCTGGCTGTGGTGGGCATCTGGGGAGTGAACCAGCGGATGGCGCTTGTGCTCACGCTGCCTCCCTCCCTCTCCCTCCCTCCCTCTCTCTTCCTCTCTCTCCCTCCCTCTCTCCCTCCCTCCCTCCCTCCCTCTCTCTCCCTCCCTCTCCCTCCCTCTCTCTCCCTCCCTCTCTCCCTCCCTCCCTCCCTCCCTCTCTCTCCCTCTCTCTCCCTCCCTCTCTCCCTCCCTCTCTCCCTCTCTCCGCCTCTCCAGTGATGCCTTTAAAGAGCGACACGGGGAGGGAGGGGACGTGGGACTTCTGCAGCCTCCTCCTTCCTTCCTCGCCCACCTCCTCCCTCCCTCTAAAAACCTCCGCTCCCTCCTGGAGCGCCTGGGACCTGCTTCTGCCAGGGCTTCCCACAGGCGTGGCGGGGGCGGGCCCAAGCCGCGTGCCCAGCGAGGGGCCTAGGGAAGGAAGGCACCGCCCCTGCCCCGCCATGAGCAGAGGGAGGGGCATAGGGAAGGAAGGCGCCGCCCCCTGCCCCCCCACCCTGTGAGCAGAGGGAGGGGCCTAGGGAAGGAAGGCACTGCCCCTGCCCCCCCATGAGCAGAGGGAGGGGCATAGGGAAGGAAGGCACCGCCCCTGCCCCCCCCACCCTGTGAGCAGAGGGAGGGGCCTAGGGAAGGAAGGTGCTGCCCCCTGCCCCCCCTGCCCTGTGAGCGGAGGGAGGGGCCTAGGGAAGGAAAGTGCCACCCCCTGCTCCCCCCTGCCCTGTGAGTGGAGGGAGGGGCCTAGGGAAGGAAGGCGCTGCCCCCTGCCCTGGCCCCCAAGCAGGCCGCAGGAGAGCGGGCCGACCCCTGCGTCCTTTGCAGAACCTGCTGGACTCCAAGTCCCTGAAGCTGGTCATCAGCATGACCCTGCACGACCGCACCACCAAGTCACTGCTGCACCTGCACAAGAAGAAGAAGCCGCCCAGCATCAGCGCCCAGTTCCAGGTGAGGGCGGGGGCCCGGGGCCTCCAGCCGCCCCGCAGGCTGCAGCCGTCCGGCCAGCTCTCCCGCTGGGCCCCGTAGGCGGCAGGAGTGTCACCCCCCAGCCTGGCCCCTGTGGCCAGACGCTGCCGGGAAGCATCACTGCTCCTGGCTGAGGACCCAGGACTTGGCGTTGCGGTCAGCATGACCCCCAGGCCGCACCCTCGGGTCGTGTTTCCCCACTCTCCTTGGCTGCTGGGAAGCTCAGGGACACATTCCTTTCTTTTCTTTTTCTTTCTTGTGTCACCGGCTGGGCTGCCGATTCTCACCTTCAGCACTTCTTGTTCCCTCCCCTTTGCCTGAACCTGAGTCTCTGTCCCCGCTGTGGCCGTGACTTCCTGTGGGGGGGCGGGGAGACTGCAGGCCAGAGACCCAGACCCCGTGGCCAAGGCCCCTTCTGAGTCTGGCATGTGTTTCAGATTCCCAGAAGGAGTTTCTGCCCCGCCCCCGGCCCAGGCACAGCCCCCAGTGCCCGGGTCCCCGCCCCCGGCCCAGGCACAGCCCCCAGTGCCCGGGTCCCCGCCCCCGGCCCAGGCACAGCCCCCAGTGCCCGGGCACAGCCCCCAGTGCCCGGGTCCCCGCCCCCGGCTCCACTTGGTGTCCTTCTCCTTTCCCAGACGTCACTCAACAAGCTCCTGGAGGCACTGGGCCAGGCCGAGCCCTTCTTCATCCGCTGCATCCGCTCCAACGCCGAGAAGGTGGGTGTGGGGCCCCGCGTGCACCAGGAGGCAGGGGCCAGGCCCCAGGAACACAGCCGCTGCTCAGACAGGTGTTTCTAGAGAGCGCGGGGAGGGGGGGACCCTAGCCCCAGGCCTCGTCCTCTTACCAGGATGCCGAGTTCCCCTGGGGCAGCTCAGGGACTCCCCGGGCCATGCAGGGCCAGGAGGCCCTCAGGCTGGAGCAGGAGCCCCAGGAGACACCATCTGTCCCTGTGTCTGCTCCTCCACGGATGGCCAGAGCCAGGCTCCGCCCCGCCCAGCCCCAGGCATCGCCCCCGTGTCTTGCTCCACCTGGGGCAGCTCAGCGGGCACCTGCATTCGCCCTCCCGTCCCTCAGGCC